AAAAAAAAAAAAGAGAAAATACAAAAATTAGCTGGGTGTGGTGGCGGGCGCCTGTAGTCCCAGCTACTCGGGAGGCTGAGGGCAGGAGAATCGGTTGAACACAGGAGGCAGAGCTTGCAGTGAGCCAAGATCACGCCACTGCACTCCAGCCTGAGCAACAGAGCAAGACTCCACCTCTCCCCCCTTCCCCCCCAAAAAATCAAATAATAGAGCATGCCTTGTGCTATGGTTTGAATGTTTCTCCCAGACTTTATGTGTTGGGAACTTAACCTCCACAATTATATGCTTTTGGAGGTAATTAGGATTGAATGAGGTCATCAGAGTGGGCCCCCATGATGGGACTAGTGGCCTCATAAGAAGAGGGACAGGCCAGGCGCGGTGGCTCATGCCTGTAATCCCAGCACTTTGGGAGGCTGAGGTGGGCGGATCATGAGGTCAGGAGTTTGAGACCAGCCTGGCCAATATGACAAAACCCCGTCTGTACTAAAAATACAAAAATTAGCTGGGTGTGGTGGCAGGTGCCTGTAATCCCAGCTACTTGGGAGGCTGAAGCAGGAAAATCACTTGAACCCGGGAGGCAGAGGTTGCAGTGACCCGAGATGGCATCACTGCACTCCAATCTGGGTGACAGAGCGAGACTCTGTCTCAAAAAAAAAAAAAAAAAAAAAAGAGAAAGAGAGACTTGAGCTGGTGTGTTCTTGCCTTGTCACCACGTGATGCCCTCTGTTGTGTTATGATGCGAGGAGAAGCTCTCCAGATGCCAGCACTATGCTCTTGGACTTCCAGCCTCCGGAACTGTAAGAAACAAACCTCTCTTCTCTATAAATTACCCACTCTTAGATATAGCCACAGAAAACAGACTAAGACACCTTGCAACTTTGTGTGTGTGTGTGCTGCGATTACAGGCATGAGCCATCGCGCCCAGGTTGGCCCTGTCCAGACTTGATTTGGGGATTACAGCCCTTGTTCCCAGGGAGTGGAATGTCCGTGCTCCCAAGGGAAAGCCTGTGAGGGTCACCAGCCCCCGCCCCCCACAGGGTTTGGTCTCCAGCCCGCGGCAGCTGCCGACACCTCTGCTCGGCTCTCCATCCTCCCGGGAGCCTTTTCTGTTGGGTTTCTTGCAGTTTCTTAGGGCATATGCAGCTTAGGGGGTGGCCGTGGCCTGAAGGGGATTTGCACTCAGGGCTTTGGGCTCTTTCTCCACGTTCCCTCAGGCCCCAGCAGGTTTGGAGCCTCAAACTCTAATCCCTGTTTCTCAGCTCGGCAAGGCTGTGCTTTCTGCTTTCGGACCTCGATGCCAATGTGGGAAGATGCTCCACAAGGAGAACTTCAGGGTGAACGTGGGCTCCCTTTCTTGTTTACGTTCGCTCGAGGGTCATAGCTCCGGGCCCTGCCAGCTCTGGTTACTCCCCACAGGCCCCGTTACATGCGTGTATCACAGCCTGTGTGTCCAGCCTGTGTCCATGTTTCAGCGGGAGGGCAAGCGCGGGGCCAGCAGTTCTGTCTGAAAGCGTTTTACGGATAGCCCTTGCTATTTCCTCAAAGGGCCACCAGAGGGCACTCCCACTCAGCCCGGCTGCTGTTCGGCGGGGGGAAGAGGGGATGGAGGGTGTGGGGGGTGTGGGGTGGAGGTGGGGGTGGTCCCCGGCCCTGGACGGCAAGTGAAACCTGCAGGAAGCCCTGCCTGTTCTGTGTGGGACCCCCACTTCCATCGTGGCCCCCACCACAGATGCAGCGAGTCCACTCCAGTCCCCGTCCCAGCCTCTGGAGGGGTGCCGGCTCTGACCCCTTCTGGCCCCTGCCTTTCCCTCGAGATGTCCATGGGCCCCCAACTCTTTGACGAGGTCTCAGACACCCCAGGGAGGCTGGGGAAAGGATTCCCGGGGCAGCTGAGCCTGAGACTGGGGGCTTTTCTGTTGTTTCCACAGCCCCAGGGCCTGACACTGTGGGACCTCTGCAGGCTGGTTGGGGTGAATGAATGATTGATTGATTGATGAATGAATGAATGAATGTCAGTTCAGCTCTTATTTCACCGCCTGGAATTTACTAGGGGCCTGGAATTTCTTTCCACCCCTCTCTCTCTCTCTCTCTCTCTCTGTGTGTGTGTGTGTGTGCTGTCTCTTATACACATCTAGATGTGTATAAGAGACAGGTGTATGTATGTATGTGTATATATAAATATATATATATAATTTTTTTTTAAATGGTCTTGCTCTGTTGCCCGGGCTGCAGTGCAGTGGTGCAATCTCTGCTCACTGCAGCCTTCAACTCCCAGGCTCAGGTGATCCTCCTGCCTTAGCTTCCTGAGTAGCTGGGCTACAGGTGTGCATCACCATACCTGGCTAATTTTATTTTAATTTTAATTTTTTGTACAGACAGTCTTTGGCCTCCCAAAGTGCTCGGATTACAGGCATGAGCCACATGCCCGGTCCCATGGCCACAATTTTTTTTTTTTTTTTGAGATGTAGTCTTACTCTGACGCCTAGGCTGGAGTGCAGTAGTACAATCTTGGTTCATTGCAACTTCTGCCTCCCAGGTTCAAGTGATTCTTGTGCCTCTGTTTCCGGAGTAGCTGGGATTACAGGTGTGTGCCACCATGCCCAGCTAATTTTTGTATTTTTAGTACAGACAGGGTTGCACTGTGTTGGCCAGGCTGGTCTCAAACTCCTGACCTCAAGTGACTGCCCACCTCAGCCTCCCACAGTGCTGAGATTACAGGCATGAACCTGCCCCATGGTCACAATTTAAGTACCCTTCTGCACCCTGAAGCTCTGCCCTGGTCACCCACAGAGCCCACATGGACCAGAGTGCCACACTGTGGTTCAGCCAGCAGCCTCTCCCGGCTGGCCACTGGCGAAGCCCCTCCTGTAAAACCAGGAAATGGTGGCAGCTCATCCCTGAGCTGGCCCCAGTGAGCCGGCTGGCAGGGATTCATGCCGCTTCAATGGGGGCCGGCCCTGTGATCACTGGAGCTAACAGAATGCTGGGGAAATGCAGCCACACCTTAATGAGGCATTTGCATGTTGCTTCTGCTCCTGGGAGGTTCTCTCTGCCATGTGAAAGTCTGGCCACAGCGCTGGAGAGACCAAGGCCCTGAGGTCCCGAGGCTGCATGGAGAGCAAGAGACCCAGGCATCCAGGACCTCATCCTATGGAGAAGAACCATCCAGCTGAGCCCAGCCAGAAACGTGAGAGAAGAGAGAACTGCAGCTGTTTTGAGCCACTGCATTTCGAGGGGGTTGGAAACGTAGCAGCAAAACCACAGCAAACAGTGGTGCCTTTGGCCCCAGAGCTCCTCACTCACACCCTGACCCAAGCTCTGCTAATGAGTTACTCCCTAAATACAGCTCTATGCAAACCAGCCTGTCCCTGCATCTCCACACTGACAACTTCAGACCTCTGCCCCCGTCTTCTTTCAGGAAACGATCGCCTGTGCTTCCAGAAGGACGTCCCATCCCATCTAGCTAGAATTAAGCAGGCAGAGGAACTCGGAAGGACTGGACTGGCTGAGTCTTCCAGACTCCATCTTTCTCCTGTGCTGGGCGCTTCCTGCCCTCAAACATCAGACTCAAAGCACTTCAGCTTTTTGGGCTCTGGGACCTACACCAGTGGTTTCCCAGGGGCTCTAGGGCCTACACCAGTGGTTTCTCAAGGGCTGTTCAGCCACAGACTGAAGGCTGTGGCTGTTGCTTCCCTACTTTTGAGGTTTTGGGACTCGGACCAGCTTCCAGGCTCCTCAGCTTGCAGACGGCCTGTTGTGGGACTTCACACCTCGTGATTGGTGAGTCAATACTCCCAGTAAACTCCCCTCCATGTATACATCTATCCTATTAGTGCTGTCCCTCTAGAGAACCCTGACTCATACACTGGGGTGATGTCAATGCTGCTGTGACTGTCATTTTCTTGTTCTAGAGAAACAATGAACCCACTGAGACAAAGGGTGGAGGAGGA